TATAATTTTAATAATATTCAGGACGCCAGGATATAGCTCAGCAGCATAGCACCTGCCTGGCAAATATGAGGTTGTGAGTTTGACTCTTAGTTCCAAAAAAGCCCAGAAAAACAATATTCAATGATCTTTGCATGGAATTTCTGTTCTCAGATAATAAGATTGATCCCAAGAGGACACTAAGTCATGAGCAGCACCAAGTGGAATGTTAATAGAAATTCTGATTCTTTTCCTATAGTCTTTCTTGCTGTTCTAGCCAAATTGGATTATGCAAGTGAATAAATTTTCTCAAGCTAGAAACCTGTGGAGGGTGGTGGTGTATCTGTGTGTGGGGCGTGAGCCCCTGTGGAGGGCGGTGGTGCACCCTGCCTCCTGGCCCTGGATGCTGCGCTTGTACTGCCTTTGCCACAGGGTTCTGAATGAGTTTCTCTTTGTTAATTTCAGCAGCACAGTCAGCAGCCTTCATTCAAGAGTTGACTCATTAGAAAAGTCAAACACTAAGCTGATTGAAGAGGTATTGTCACCCACAATTGTTTCTCATGGACCCCCTACTTGTCATTCTTTTCTGTTTTAAGAATAAATACATTAAATGTGGGCTTCATTCCCTTCTTTCTCTGTTTCTCTCATCACAGTGGAATGCTTGTAATTGATGATTATAAGTTCTAAAGAAACAACATATTCTGGGTTGTTTGTGTGTTTGTCTTGTGGTACTGGGGATCGAACTCAGGACCTTGCACTTGCCAGGCAGGCTTCTGCTGCTGGGCTATCTCCCTGGCGAAACTACGTATTCATAGGCAAATCCTCAGTTGTATGATTCTGTGAGATACTCTCAAGTGAGATAATTCTAGAAACAAGTCCCTAGAAAGGAAACTCACACAAACTTTTTTTTTTGGTCTTTTTCAACTTACTGTGCGGTTCAGGCTGGTCTTTAATTCACTTTGTAGCCCAGGCTTGCCTCAAAATCGAAACGATTGGGGGCCGGGGAGATGGCTCAGTGGAATAAGTGCTTCCCTGGCAAGTGCAAAGGCCTGAGTTCAATCCCCGGTTCCACCAAAAAAAAAAAAAAAAGAAAAAAATCGAAACGATTCTTTCCTCAGCCTCCTGAGTGCTGGGATGATAGGCATGTACAAACTCTTTTTGTTTTAAATTTATTTTATTTTTTTTCGAACTGTTGTATACAAAAGCTATGATTATCCTTTTAAATCTGGGTGACTGGGTGAGATATGGAATGATCATAGCTAGACCCCTATGGAAAGGGTCTGCCCCCATTATTCTGCTGCTCAGGTCACTTTTCTTCACAAGCGCTGCTGCTGGTTATGCCCACCCATCCTCTGCCTAACTCCTCTCATGGTGAAACTGCCTTCTGCTTTCATTTCTTACATTGCAGAAGTCACCATACCGTGGCCCGCTACTCATTTAGAGAAGAGCTGGTGGCCAGGGGTGGTGGCACACATCTGTCACCAAGCACTCTGGGAGGCTGAGGCAGGGGAATTTCAAGTTTGATCCCAGCCTGAGCAACATAGTAACTTAGAGAGTTACTGTCTCAAAATAAAAAATAAAAAAAGGCTGGGTTATAGCTTAGTGCAAAGACCCTGGGTTCAATCCTCAATACCACAGAGAAAAAAAAAATATCTTGACTCTCTTTTAATAGTTTGTAGAGTTGCTTTTTAGGATAAGGTTTTGTTGTTGTTGGTTTTTGTTTTTTTTTTTAGCTAACAGACCAAAGACTTATTACTTAACACGTACAAAATTATGTAGTCCAGAGGAAGGAGCTTATTATTTAGTGCAATGAACTCTATCTTCCATGTTAATTAAAATTTTTCCTTTTGAAATGACCTAATATTTCCAAACCAGGGAGCACATGGCAATTTGCATGTTTACAGTTAAGAATTCATCTTTATTTTGAAGGTTAGTCTCTTGATTGGGACTGGTACAGGGCTGCTTACTAAGTAGGGCCTCTTTTTTTTTTTTTTTTTTTTGGTACAGGGATCAAACTCAGGACCTTAAGCTTACCAGGCAGGCACTTGCACTGCTGAGCTCCATCCCCAGCCCCTTGGCACTTTTTTTGACCTTAGGTGCACTGGAAGTTCTAACATGGTCTCAGCAGGCCTGAGACCCAAGAGGCAGTTTGTGTGGCCACACATGTCCCACCCATGGTTCAAGCCAGTGAGGACATATTAAGTGAGAGCTTAGTAAAGTGGGGTTTGGAATTATTAATTGCAAGTCAGCTTTATTCTACTTTTTTGAGACAGAGTTTCACTATGGAGTTCATGCTGGCCTTGAACTCACTGTGGAGCCCAGGCTAACATGGAATTCTTGGTGATCCAATCTCAGTCTCCTGAGAGCTGGGACCACGCCCAGCTCCTAGGATCTCTCCTTTCATCCTAGGCCTTAGAGTCAAACCACCTATTCATTCGTGTTTAACCCTGACAGTGAGAGTGTCTACATATTGGTTCCCAAGCTCCTATTCCACATCCAGACCCAACGATGTTCTGTTCCATTACAGTGATTACGTGTTACATTTTCAGAGATAGCAAAATTTTCTTTTTGGAACCGGGGATTGAACTCAGGCCCTTGCACTTGCCAGGGAAGCACTTATTCCACTGAGCCATCTCCCCAGCCCTACAAAACTTTCTTT